GATTGCATCGGCTGTGGGGATGAAGACGACAACTCCCATGATTCCACACTCAGTCACAGCGTCATCAAACTACGCATTTGATTCTTTGTTTATTTTGAATACGCGCCTTCTAGCGGCGAAAAATTACATATTGTGCCTTTAAAGGTTATTCCCCTTTTTACAATATGTAATATAAGTCTCTGGTGTCCCCAGGATTTGTCTGTGAAATTTCAGCTCAAAATACTTTAAAACCTGAAAAAGTCAGATTTTCATGATATGTCACCTTTAAGAAAATCTTTATTTTTGCTTAACCCATTGACGATCATTTTTTTCTTCTTTTAAGCATAAACTCACTTAATTTTATTTTCTGGAATTTAAGACTTAATATATTAAGTCATTTTGCTTTTCTTGTTTAAATTTAAGAAAGTTTAGATATCGGTATTTGTACTGGAAAACAGGACAAACATACCGAATAAGAAATTATTTTTTTTTGCACTTCATATGGGGTTTGATCGTGAATAAATAATAAATTCATTTTTAGGTCAAATTGATTTTTAAAAAGATCTAAACCCAGCCACTCAAAATGCTGTCTTTCTCCTCTAGTTTTCCAGGCAGGGAAGATACTAAAGGCACAAGCATGGGAGAGTGGGGCTTTCTCTCCAAGCTGCTGGACAAAGTGCAGTCTCACTCCACGGTCATTGGGAAAGTGTGGCTCACTGTCCTCTTTGTCTTCAGGATCATGGTTCTCGGAGCCGGGGCCGAAAAGGTGTGGAGCGACGAACAATCAAAAATTATCTGCAACACTAAGCAACCTGGTTGTACGAACGTGTGTTACGATCACACCTTTCCAATCTCCCACATTCGCTTCTGGGTACTTCAGATCATCTTTGTGTCCATGCCAACGCTTCTATACTTCGGCCATGTTCTGCATATCCTCCACAAAGATAAGAAACTGAGACATCAGATTGAAAGCCAAGAGGAAAAGCAACATCCCAAATACACCGACGATCGTGGCAAAGTTATAATCAAGGGCCAGTTGTTAGGTAGTTACCTAGCCAGCTTGTTTGCTAAGATCTTGCTTGAGGCTGCGTTTATCGTAGGTCAGTATTATATTTACGGTTTCATAATGATCCCTAAGATAGAATGCTCCCAATCTCCTTGCCCTCATACGGTTGAGTGTTACATGTCTCGTCCCACAGAGAAAACCATCTTTATCATCTTCATGCTGGTGGTGTCGTGTATCTCTCTGCTTCTAAACGTGATCGAGATGTTCTACCTGATATGCCGCAGGTTAAAGAGACATCGTGGCACACAGAAGAGCACGTTCTCGCAAGGTTTAAACGGATCCAAGATGCACATTACAGGAACTTTAAAGTCTACCTAAACTTAAGGCTGAAAAGATCATGTTTGATGTTGTAAGCTTGTCCATAGCTAAATTAATGTAGGGTCTAGGTATTCAAATTCATTGTGATCATTTTGTTTTGCTGTGAAATGATTATATGTATTTTGAACAATGTTTGCACCAGAATGAATGTTGATGAACATCTGCATGGTGCCGCAGGGCATTTCAGGTAATTTTATATGGACTTTATTTAACTTTAACCTTTATTAAAGTAATGTCTTGTCATATGACTTATCATTCATCTCTTCTTATAAACCTTTGTGATGCTCTATGTGTTTTACAGTAGAATTGTCATAACACACAATAGTTCATTTTGTAACATTGCATATTTTCCTCTCTCTGGTTAAAGCAAACCACATGTAACTATACGAGAGCATATATGACTTACTATTTGTTAGTATATGACATTATTTGTTTCATAAAAGCATAGCTCATGCTAATTTTAGCACTTACACATTGTGCTTTAATCATGAACTGTTTTCATTAGTTAACATGAATGTGTTAAAACCTTTGTAAATAACGTTACTATGCTTTTTCTTGTTAGGGTATATTAAAGTATTGCTCAGCTAATGATGTGCAGGTAGACATGTAGGCCTATATCAGGAATTGTTAGTTTCCTTAATTTCAGCAAAGAATTAAAGGGGTCATATGATGCTGCTAAAAAGAACATTATTTTGTGTATTTTTTTTTTTTTTGTTAATTTCATACACGTTAAAATGTAAAACCTCGACGAACCAAGGTTGGGCTTGCGGCAACCACATGTGACGACCCCGGGCTGGACTCTGCTTCGTCCACGGTGAAAGCTGATCCGGCGATTGTATTTCCTCAGCGACCAGCACGGATCAGCTCTAGGCATGACGAAGCGGATATCGTCCTTTTATGGAAGGCCAACCAAAGTAGTTTCTTAGTAGGTCACTTTCACAACGAAACACAGCGCCTTCACGACATGGCGGCGGCAGTTGAAATCGCATCATATGACCCCTTTAAAGGAGCATCCAAACATATCAATTGTCTCATTTACCCTCATGTTGTTCCACACCTCCCCAAACGACGATCTTAAGGTATTGTAGAAGTACTTCACACATCTCATGTGCTGTTGGAATCTAATTTGTTCTATTTGAACATGCTCATATTTTAAGGTTTTAACTCACAAATATTCAAATATGGCGTCACGTGTCACACGCCAGATTTTACATTAGTAAAGCCAACGCTGTTTCTTGGGTGTCTTGTTACTTGCCTAATATTTCCCTTTGGGGGTCTATGGAAGAAAGAAACCCATATTAATGTTGACGACCTGTATTTTTTTGGGGGGGGGGGGGGGGGCGGGGGGGGAGAAATATTCCTTGATGGGAATACTTGAAGCACAAAAATGATCAATAAAATGCACTGTAACTATGAAAACAGATTATATCGAGTACACTTTTAAGTATTTTTTTTTTTACATTTATTTTTAAAATATTTTTAACTTTCAAAAATAATATAACGTTATGAATGTAACAGTATTTTTTTTTCTTTGTTTTCTAAGCACAACAGCTTTTCACGGCTATAAATATTGTATTAATCTGTCTGAAGTTTTATTTTATGCATTGAAAATGCACTGGTGTTTGAGTTTTCGGAGTTTTAAAGTATTTGTAATCCTCATACGCCCTCCTGTGGTAGAAAGTTGGAAAGAATATTTAGAAATGTCATTTCTCCTGCACCTTATAAACGACACGCTTGGTTGATGTTTTATTTATATTTGCACACATGACATGTTAACAGTAAATATGTTTACAATAATGGCTGAATTGCTGCACTCTCAGAAAAAAAGTACAAAATCTGCCACTTGGCGGTAGGCCTACCTTATAAAAGGTGTACTGCACCATTTAGGTACTAAAACGTACCATTTACACTCTTAAAAAATAAAGGTGCTTCACGATGCCATAGAAGAACCTTTTTGTCTAAATGGTTCCATAAAGAACCTTTAACATCTGAAGAACCTTTTTGTTTCATAAAAGGTTCTTTGTGGCGAAATAAGTTTTCTTCAGATTATAAAAAGGTAAGAAAGAGATGTTTTTTTAAAGAGCATTTGACCAAATGGTTCTTGGCATCGCTGTGAAGAACCTTTTAAGCGCCTTTATTTTTTAAGAGTGTAGGTACTAATATGAAAATTTAACACACTCTTTATGGATAAATATGGTAGAATATGGAATTTTATACCATAATATGGTATAAAAAGGTGTAGCCTATCTTCTGAAAAGGTACCACCCTGCAGTTACAGTGGGACTGAAAGACATCCAGGGGTCTTTGAAAAGTAATAATCTCTCAGAATGTGTGGAGATTTGTATTTGTGTGTGTTTATAATAATTGCTACAACCCCTGGTATTATAGTTATAAACGTATGCATCATTTTTACAGTAGATGTAAACACTAGTTAAAATTGGATTAGAGAAAATGCATCATTTGTTTCCTTAAACCAATAAAATTATGGTTTATTAAACAAGTACAAAGTGCTGACATTGCAAAGTTAGTAGTTACAGTAAGCTTTAAGGGAAATAAGATGTCATTTCAGACAGTTTCATTCAGCAAAATGTCTCAGTGGGGGTTAATTTCTGCATCTCAGCCACTGCAGATGTCCTCCTCTTGTGTTCGCCTCTACGACCCATCAGATAGAATATCTCTCCTAGATTTAAAACTAAAGACACACACGCCACAATGAGCATGAAGACAATGAAGACGGTCTTTTCAGTTGGGCGGGATGTAAAACAATGCAGACCAATTGCAGGGCAAGGATCTACCTTACATTCTAGCTGTGTGGCCATCCAAAGGCCAATTAAATAGTACTGGGCCACAATGAACCCTGCTTCAAACAAAATGGTGACAATGAGACTCAACATATAGCAACCAAGCAGGCTCCCTTTGTAATAAATCTTCCCGTTGTCATCAGTGTATTTGGGCAGTTTTACCCCACGTTTCTCTGCCTGGTTTTGTAAATGCTGCCTCAGTTTGTTTTCCTTGTGGATGACGTGCAGAACGTAGCCGAGGTAGACCAGATTTGGCGTGGCCACAAAGATGATTTGGAGCACCCAGAATCGCATGTGGGAAATGGGGAAGACGTGGTCGTAGCACGCGTTCAAGCAACCAGGAGTGTTGATGTTGCAGACCATACTGGACTGTTCATCTCCCCAGACTTTGTCCAGTCCAGCTCCAAGAACCATTATTCTGAAGATCAGCAGAACCGTCAGCCACACTTTCCCAATATTGGTTGAGTGAGACTGCACTTTGTCTAAAAGCTTGGAGAGGAATCCCCAGTCACCCATGCTTACCTGGAAATGAGAAGACTTTTGAAGAAAACTAAAACATGGGACAACAGGAGTTACATGAATATTAAGAATTAGTAAAATAGAAAATAGAAAAAAAAAATTACTTTAGCCATAAATATAGCCGTATAAATATTTATTTTCTAATTCTTAATATTTCTATATGTAAATGTTTTAATTACTATATACTGTATATATACACACACACACACACACACACACACACAGCCATTTAAAATTTTGGGATTAGTAAGATTTGTAATGCTTTTTAAAGAAGTCTCTGATGCTCTTCTATTTAATCAGAAATACAGAAAAAAACACTAATATTGTGATTTAAAATAATGGTTTTCTATTTTAATATACATTAAAATGTAATTTATTCCTGTGATGCATGAGCTAAATTTTCATCAGTCATTACTCTAGTTTTCAGTGTTACATGATCCTTCAGAAATCATTCTAATATGCTGATTTATTATCAATGCTGGAACAGTTGCCCTGCTTATTCAGTTTTATATTTGGGCCCTGTGATAATTTTTTCAGGATTTGACGAATAAAACATTAAAAAGCACAGCTTTTATTTAAAATATAAATCTTCTGTAACAATACAGTATATACCTCCATTCAAAAGTGTAGAGACAGTACATTTTTTTTCTTTCTTTTTTTGAAAGAAATTAGTATTTTAAGAATGTGCTACATTGACACACACACTATCTTAATTTAATCTGCTGAAGATATACTGTTGTTGTTTTTTTTGTTGTTGTTTTTTTGTTAATTTCATACACGTTAAAATGTAAAATTGAGGTAAGAGTAAAAGCAAATGAGCTTTTTCTCTTGTATGGGAAATGTATGGGTTTTACAAGTAATATACATTATGATACAAAAATGGCACAACATCAGCATAATTAAAATATTTGACATAAATCAGCTAAAAGCAAACTGTTGTGTCATAAAAAAATTATTCCAATACTCAATAAACAAAACAGGTTAAGTAATTCCATATTTAAAGTTAACCTACCTTTTATACGATGACAGGTCCAGTGACACTTGTTCTTTATTTGTGTGCAGGTGAAAAGATGATATCAGAGCTTTCAGTCTTTCAAGATCTGACCTTCAACAAGTTTTGTAATTTTTATAAGTGTAGCTTTCATTTAGTGTCCACCCACAAAAAAATAAATAAATCTGCATTTCACTTCGGGTCATTGAGCACGTACTCACACCCAATCCAAAATCACACAAACAGATTTACATCACACCACCCGTCACATTGTCCAGCTTTGACTCGAGATGTTGCAATACATGAAACCAAGAAATGTTAAAAGTCACCTCCCATATCATCATGAGAATATGTGATGAAACTTTCCATAGACAGTGCTTTTTAAAAACACATAAACTCAATGTTAATGTTGTAAACATATCTTATGTAATCCAAAGCATTCAAGATGCAGTCCAAGCCCATGATCATTACATGTTATGCTGGTTTTGTTTTGTACAGTTATAGGTTCATACAATTGTACTGTTTTAAAAATACGCAGATATGACATTTCTGTAGTATTAATTTTAATATAAATGTCTGACTGTGATACAAAAGCAAAGGAATTATTTGGATAAATGCACCTGCCAAATGAATAAATTCAAATGCAACTGTCTACAAGTGTAAACAAGTAACATGCACGTCTGAACTTTATCCAGTTATCATGTACAGTTACACCACAGCTATTTCCTACATTCTCCACAGAAACCACAATTATGGGAGAAAACTGGAAAACAGGATTTTTTCTTGATGTTCTATAAAGTGGTGTTGTACAGATATGGTTGTTCCGACTGAATGAAAAACCACACAAACACCACATGAAAAGACAAATTTTGTGCTAACAATTTCCTCATCCTCACCACCCATTTATAGGTCACCCAGATCATCTTTAATATCATAACTGAAAGATTGCTTTGTCCTGCTCAAGTGGAGTCTTATGATGCAAACCACTAAAAGAAGACTCTTCACGCCGTTACTTTTGGTATAGTCTCAGCTTTCAAATTGTGTAATTTTTTAAAGAAATTCAAACAATAAATGCCATTTTGTGGCTTTTTAATGTGTTGTGACAGATCACTGTAGCGCCTCAGTTCAAGCTGCACGTGAAGCGATCATCTATTCCTCTATACTAGTTGTAGCATGAAATAAACATGAATGAACATAAGAAGCTATCTTGTTTCAACTGTGCAAAGACGTCAATACACACCATTTTTCAAGTTCACTGACATTAATCTACTCTCTGGTCTGGTTTGTTTGTCAGACAAAATTGGCAAATTCGGCGTTATGATTGGTCAGATCGCCTGTCAATCAAGTTCCCCGCGAAGGGTAATAGAGTGGGGGAACTATGACGTCAGAACCCGGAAGAGTAATTCTCCGCGGGTTCCTTCGAGATTTTCCTATGGGGTTTTATAATGGGGGTTTTCAATTCATGAGTAAAATAAAGCCTGTGGTAAACATAACTTGATGATACTTTTACGTTTTGTTCTACAATGTAAACTGCACACATTTACAGCCCAAACGTTCTTATCTAGTTACTTATTTAAAAACATACATTTTCAAAAATGAACATAATTGCTTCAAAATTTTTGTTTTGGGTATGGATGGGCGTAATTTACGTTGTAGAACAAAACGTAAAAGTATCATCAAGTTATGTTTACCACAGGCTTTATTTTACTCATAAATTGAAAAAACCCATTATAAAACCCCATATAGGAAAATCTCGAAGGAACCCGCGGCGAATTACTCTTCCGGGTTCTGACGTCATAGTTCCCCCACTCTATTGTGGGGGAAAGTAGCTTGTTATAGGAAAAATTCGCTTAAATGCATTTGAACTACTGTAAAACTCTTCTGAAAAATATAGCTAGATAAGTCAGAATCGTACACTTGTCTTGCCTATACTATGTCCAAGAAAACATTCTGAAACAGCCATTTCATATAGTAATCAGATCTTCTGGTTTCACCACAGAATTTCCCCCACATTAATGTTAATATTTACTTTCAGTCTATCTGATTGAAAGGATTAGCTCTTAGATTTTTATTATTTAGTTTTCAGTCAATATTATGATGAGACATCACTATATGGGGGTGGTTGAAGCTGGTAAATGGTAAGCACATGTTCCCTAAAATGTTGAGTTTGGCATAATTTGCTGATCTTGATCTTATGTCATTTCCTGACTTCTTTTTCAACATGAGTTGCAATAAGTGAGTCCATGATGGTACATTCCTCAATACCAGGGCTACATTTGGGCTTTAGTTAATCGGTCACTGCAAGATGACCTTACTGTCAGGGCCTGAGTCAATATTTCTTTTGATTCCCAAGAGGTTTAGGTAAAATCTATGGTGCAGTTTTTCAGATCCTGAGTGTAAAAATATTTGTTATTTATGTCCCTTAGTTAGTAAGATTACTCAGAGACTCAAGACAGGCTAAAAGTTCATTGTGAGTATGATTATCCGCAAGTCTCTCTCCCACAATTACACACAATTAAACAAGAATTACAATTCTTGAGAAATAAAACTCCTTTTTACTGACAGATTACACAAGGATTTACTTGAAACAGTTGTTACTTGAAAGAGGTTGTCAGGGTCAAGTGGTTTGTGCAGAAAATCACAAATAGGCCTATATGTTTTCCTCAATATTTCATGTATTAAATGCTGGGATTCATAAAGGCTTGTTTCAAATTAGGGAAAGTAATATGACTGGTGCTTTTTTATTATTAAAAAAGCCTTTTAAATGTTGGGTTGATTTATTATTATAATTTTTTAATTAAAGGGGTCATATGATGCGATTTCAATTTTTCCTTTCTCTTTGGAGTGTTACAAGCTGATTGTGCATAGATAAGATCCCTGAAGTTGCAAAGATTGAAAAATAATGTGTTTTTTGAACATTAAAGCATGTCAGCATATTCTGTTACACCAAATACACAAAATAATGATATCTAAAAAAAGCATCATATGACCCCTTTAAAACTTTTTAAAACAGATTTAAAGGTTTCCTTATAAAATATGTCATTTAAAACTATAATTATCAAAACTGATGAATAACAGTTTAATTTTTCGTGTGTGTGAAATATATATGTGACCCTGGACCACAAAACCGGTCTTAAGTCGCTGGGGTATGTTTGTAGCAATAGCCAAAAAAAAACATTGTATGGGTCAAAATGATCGATTTTTCTTTTATGCCAAAAATCATTAAGATATTAAATAAAGATCGTGTTCCATGAAGATATTTTGTAAATTTCCTACCGTAAATATATAAAAACCTAATTTTTGATTAGTAATATGCATTGCTAAGAACTTCATTTGGACAACTTTAAAGGCAATTTTCTCAGTATTTAGATTTTTTTGCACCCTCAGATTCCAGATTTTCAAATAGTTGCATATCGGCCAAATATTGTCCTATCGTAACAAACCATACATCAAAGGAAAGCTTATTTATTCAGATGATATATAAATCTCAATTTGAAAAAATTGACCCTTATGACTGGTTTTGTGGTCCAGGGTCACATATATTTCACAAATTATGACTCTTACTCAGTTGTAACACCAGTTTCACCACAATTTCCCATTTTGGCACCAATTTTCTCAAAAGTCAAATCTCCTTTTTTTTTTTACAATAAAAAAATCAGTGTACATATTTATCAAGGAGACAACAGTGTCAATGAAGAGCTTAAGAAACTTTTGCATAAGTTTCAATCAAGCATGGTAATTTAAAGGTGTGAACATATTGTTCATTTGTATTAATTTAGCAGAAACCTTTCTTCTTTTTTTCAGGACAATCCCTCTGAAAAAAAGCAGTGGTTAAGTGTCTTCTCAAGGCCACAGTGATTGTTCCTCATAGGGCTCAAACCCAGCAACCTTACCAGGCCTGATCTGTAGCCACTACACCACACCACCATCACGTATAGACGCTGCATTCCACTTAGCGACATAAACAAAGTCGATGATTTAGCTGAATTTCATCAATGTGTGAAAGTGTGCTGCAACATGGCTCATGAAGTGACTAATTGCCTGTGCTTCGAACAAGAACAGAAACAGAGAAGTGAAAACGTCTGGTTTTAACTGGTTTTCTTATCATACAGATGGGTGGAGCATTCAGTGTCCTTTCACATATATGTAAATCACATTTCACGGAGAGAAGATGATTGATTGAAACGGTCAAGTCTTGTCTGAGAGCCTGTGACCTCACTGAGACCGACAGATATTTCACATTTTAACAATACAAAAGTTTTGTTTTAGAATTGACTTTAAATTTCCGGAAGCTGAATAAGGAAATATGTTTATTTAAATACATGCTTATGAATAATGTTAAAATAATCTTTAGGATCTTTAGTATTAGTTGTAGCATTAGGGGAAATTACCATTCGGATCCATTTGTTCAGGTAAGAATATTTTGGGATTTGTTGGAGTATGTTTTTTTTTTTTTTTTAAACTGCAGTCCCAATCTTATCTTTAAATTCTTGAAATATATTTATATATAAAGTTAGAAGAATTAGAAGAATTTAATTATACATTCTTTTATATCTTTAAATTTTACAAAACATTTTTTTAGAAACATCACTCAAAAGTACTAACTTTTCTTCAGATTATTGAGTCAAATGTATTTAAATAAGTGAGATGAAGTTATTATTTATTCAATCAAATATATTTAAAACATTTTACAGTTTTAATACCTTAAATAGAATGAGCTTTTATTTATTTTATTTTATTATAAGAGTCCCCATCTTATCTTTATTAAATCTTACAGAAAACATTTTAGAAGCATCACTAAAAAGTAACTTTCTTCAAAGATTTCAGGTTTATTCAGTCAATAAACCAAAACACCACAATACTTGTCTTTGATTTCAGAAGAACCCGAAGAGATTTTGTTCTAAACCGTGATTATGATTTTATATTTTTATAGGGTGGCAACAAATACTCTGAGATTACAAGACAGCATTTTTTTCTCCATAAAATTATTTGGTGAGTATGAAATTTGTTTAACAGATAAGATGCTGTGCAAGCTCTTTCAATAAACTAGAAATATATGTGGGAAGTGAAAGCAACAGCAGAATGGTCCGTGTGCAGTAGTCTATGAAAAAATCTCAGTCGCTATAACTGCTATTCTAGATTTGATCAGGTCTGTATTGCGTTACAGTTGTTTTGCGCTGTAATGTTCATGGTGGCCTTAAGGTGACAATTCCCATATTCCTTTGCCTTTTTGATTATAACAAGAACCTGGCTTGCTTATAACGTGGCATTAAAAAAGTTGGAAAAAAAGACCTCCTCCAAATTGTTTTGATCACCATGGTTTCATATAGAAAGCAATTGTGGACACTTCCGTGTAAATCTCCTGTTTATCCTCCAGGGAAGCCCTGAGCAACTGAGCAACCAATCATGGGAGACTGGGGATTCCTCTCAGCTTTACTGGACAAAGTACAGTCTCACTCCACCGTCATTGGCAAGATATGGATGAGCGTCCTCTTCATCTTCAGGATCCTGGTGCTGGGAGCAGGAGCGGAGAATGTGTGGGGTGATGAGCGATCCAACTTAGTGTGCAACACCAACACGCCTGGTTGCGAGAACGTGTGCTATGACTGGAAGTTCCCCATCTCGCATATTCGCTTCTGGGTCATGCAGATCATCTTCGTTTCCACTCCAACTTTGGTGTATCTGGGCCACGTGGTGCACGTCATCCACCAAGAGAACAAACTGAGAGAGGAGCAGAAAAGAAACCCGATGTCAAAGTCTCCAAAATATACCAACGAAAAAGGGAAGGTTGAAATCAAAGGAAGCATGCTGGGTAGTTACTTGACCCAGCTGTTTATTAAAATCATTTTTGAGGTGGCTTTCATCGTTGGACAGTATTATCTGTTTGGATTTATCATGGAGCGTAAGTTCCACTGTAAGCAGTTGCCATGTACGGTGGAGACCGAGTGTTTCGTGTCTAGACCCACAGAGAAAACCGTCTTCATTATCTTCATGTTGGTGGTGGCATGTGTGTCTCTGGCCTTAAATGTTCTAGAAATCTTCTATTTGTTTTGTAAGAGGATAAGTGGGAGAAATAAGAAATATAGGAATGTAATGTATGCTGGCGATTCGCGTTATCCTTCACCTTTTTCAGTAGAACTTGATTCTGCTCATGGAATGAGACACAGTGAGTTAAACATGGCCTTTCAGAACAGGTGGGATCAAACCAAAGGCAGCCTTGATGGAGCCAAACCTGAGCCATAGGGCAATAAGTCATTGTGGTAACATGAAATGCACATAATATATTCAACTTTATATAATCAACACAGCCTATGGAAAAAAAAAATGTTGATTGTAACTTTTGCTAAATGAACACTAGATGGCGATGTAATCTTCTTGAGTTGCACTCACTAACCCCTAACTTCTGTCACTACAAGGCCAGTGATTTTTTTTGTGCCTGAGTTACTGTAGTAATTATATCGTTTTTAATGTTATTTTAGCAATGCAACACGAAATATGTTTAACCAACTTTTTCTTTTTGTGCACTAAGAATAAACATTGTAAGAGAAATAAAGTAATGAAGATGTATCAGTTGTTTTCTTATATAGAAGGGACATCAGGGACAAAGATATTAAATTATTAATAAATAAAAAAAATCTGCAAATGCACACGCACATGATTTTATAATATTTAACACTATAAGTTTATTTATATTATATATTAAATATTTAAACACTAAAAGGGTAACACTTTACTTGAAGGGCTGTGCATAAGACTGACATGACACCTTCATAATCATGACATGACACATGTCATGAATATGAAGGAGGTTTTATGCATGTTTATGACAACTGTCATTAAGTGTCATTTGCTCAGTTATGTCGTTTTTAATGCAAATATGACATTATTTGACCTAACCCTACCCCTACCCTTACCCCTAACCATAGCCCATAACAAAGACATCTCAAACAATGTCATCTTTGCATTAAAAATTACATAACTGAGTGAATGACACTTAATGACAGTTGTCATAAACATGCATAAAAAACCTTCATATTCATGTGTCATGTCATGATTATGAAGGTGTCATGTCAGTCTTATGCACACCCCTTCAAGTGTAACCAAAATTACTTTTAATATTTACCGAATATGTCAAATTAAAACCGCAGTTAACAATGATAGCCTAATATAATTTTTATATTTATATTCTTTACCTCAAGATACCAAACGTTCCCTTTTAGGGACTATTCTATTCGGATAATCATAAAAACTTCCTTACTTATGTACAATCACGTTAGAAATGCCATTATATTATGCTATATTTATTAATATGCTATTTATATTGTATTATGATCGTCAATTATTGTTAATAAGACAAGTTTTCGAGAGAAACATTCGTTCGTCTGAGTTGAAGAAGCTCACCAAGCGAAGAGTGCGTGAGGACCTTCTTGTGACGTAGCCAGTCATGTGACTTTGCCAAACTTTGTGCGTCTGCTTTCCACTTTCTTCCCTCCGAGTCTCTTATAAGCAGGGAAAGTTTGACAAGTGTGCCTCAGTTCCTCCATAGTCGCTTACTTGGATTTGGTGACTGATCTTCGGAGTGACGGAGTAAGTCCCTACAGGGCTCTCCTCTCTTTACTTCTCTACAGGTAAGTTTTTACAGAAAGTCTTACAACTTTTCAAAACGTTTTATTTATTTATTTTTTTTCATAGCGGCACTAATATTCAGAACTGAGCAACACAATGGAAAGTTACTTTTAAAGAATTCTAACGTTTTAAATGCCTCTTGTCATATTACATTTTAACTTAACATTTGAGTGGGTTTAGAAGTTCATGAAATTATCTATCGAAATATATTATAGTCATATGGGTCAATATATCATATTTTCGCATTGTATTCACGTCTGCTGTGCAGGACACGTTCGGTGAAAAAGAGGCCATTTAATAGGCATTTCAGTAATTAAAACAAAAATTAAATAACAGACATTTCAAAAAAACCTTGTGTATGGAAAAAAAGTTTTGAAGAAAAACGTAAACCGCAATCAAAAACATGAATTTAATAGGAACTAATTATAACAACAATTTTTTCTCATAAAATAAGATGGGAAAACAACGTTGGGTCTTTTCTTCCTTTGTTTTTAGAACTCTAATACGACTTTCTGGTGAAAAAAACGATCTGTTTCGCCTGCGTCGTGAATAGCGCCGAGTAGGGGGCGCTGTTCAGTCCCTCAATACAATGTTAAGCTGCTTGACTGTGGCAGGACTTTAACCTGTAATTCCCAAACATTCCTACATTATTTTGTGCAATCAATGTAATGACAAGTTTGATTTTTATATGTTTAAATAAATGCAACAAACAGTTATTATTCTATGTACTTTACTATATAACTATCTAAAATTCAGTAGACATTTTTTCGCCCACTTGATGTCTTTATGGACTTTTAACACTGTCATAATATACATTCCACATACCCCATTTAAATTTTTTATTAGTGCCACGAGACCCACAAATTGTCCAGGATATTGAAGGGATGCTCTGCTTCATGCCTGCACCACATGAATCAGGCAGTTCTTTAGAACTTTATAAACAGTTCCTTATGATATTTCATTTTCCATGCTGCGCAGAGGATTAATCAAAGACTTGCAGCCCAATTCTATTCAGATTTCAAGTGAATGTTATTGTTCATTATTTAAACATCTCTGATGTGACTGGAGGGACCGACATCTTGCCAAATAAACAAGGATCTTTAAATTCTCCATTGTCCTAGCTGCTTAGTCATGTTTTCTTCTTGGCATTAAAGACGTTTTAATCAGCAGATAATGAGTCACTTTCTGTCATGGTAGCATTTGCATGAGAAATTGTATTTCACAAAGCAAAAGACACAATGCCTGGCAGTTATCTTTACAACCCCAAACCAAACCCCTACGTGTGTAAGCCACATGTTTGTTATCTGAGCTATCTGAGACCAGGTGTAGTTTATATTATGATAATCCTGAGGTCACTCTCATGATTATTTTCATAATAACATCCTCAGCAGGTGCTGAAACTAACACTTTCATCATGTGCTTTATGTACAGAAAAAGATACTACATGTGGCCACTTGAGCCACACTTCAAAATGTATGAATTGCTTTGCATTACATAACTATGTGTGTGTGTGTGTGTGTGTGTACTTTATGCTACATTGTGGGGACCAAATGTTTTTTGTAAGGGGTAGGTTTAGGGGATAAAAAATATCGTTTGGTGAGTATAAAAGTAATAGAAGTCTATGGAAAGTCCCCACAATTCACAGAAACAAACGTGTGTGTGTGTGTGTGTATAATAATATGACATCCACTAAAAGTGATGGACTGTTTGATTAAAAATGACAGAAAAAAAATTTAAAGTGAAGTATTATCCGTTCAGACATATCACTTTGATGTTTTGCATCTAATGTGATGATATTCAGACATATAAGTGTCACTGAAGTGTCCAAAAGTGTCTAAATACATTTTATTACATCTCAGCTTTCTATTTTCAGCTAGAACTCCCTCAAGATGGGTGACTGGAGTGCGTTGGGAAGACTTCTTGACAAGGTGCAGGCCTACTCCACGGCCGGAGGGAAAATCTGGCTCTCTGTGCTCTTCATCTTCCGGATCCTAGTTCTGGGAACGGCAGTGGAGTCGGCCTGGGGTGACGAGCAGTCAGCTTTCAAGTGCAATACCCAGCAGCCCGGTTGCGACAACGTCTGCTACGACAAATCGTTTCCTATCTCGCACGTGCGCTTCTGGGTGCTTCAGATCATCTTCGTGTCCACACCTACGCTCCTGTACCTGGCGCACGTATTCTACCTGATGCGCAAGGAGGAGAAGCTCAACCGCAGGGAGGAGGAGCTGAAGGCCGTGCAGAACGACGGTGGTGACGTCGAGCTCCATCTCAAGAAGATCGAACTCAAGAAGTTCAAGCACGGCCTGGAGGAGCACGGCAAGGTGAAGATGAAGGGTGCCCTGCTGCGCACCTACATCGTCAGCATCCTTTTCAAGTCCATCTTTGAGGTGGGCTTCCTGTTGCTCCAGTGGTACATCTACGGCTTCAGCCTGTCCGCCGTGTACACGTGCGAGCGTTCGCCTTGCCCCCATCAGGTGGACTGTTTCCTCTCCCGCCCCACGGAGAAGACCATCTTCATTATCTTCATGCTGGTGGTTTCGCTCGTGTCACTTTTGCTCAACATCATCGAGCTCGTCTACGTGCTCTTCAAACGGATCAAGGACCGCGTGAAAGGCCGCCAAAACCAGTTCCCCACCGGCACCCTGAGCCCCACGCCGAAGGAACTGTCCACGACCAAATATGCCTACTACAACGGCTGCTCCTCGCCGACCGCGCCGCTCTCGCCAATGTCACCTCCGGGCTACAAGCTAGCCACCGGCGAGCGGACCAACTCTTGTCGCAATTACAACAAGCAGGCCAACGAGCAGAACTGGGCCAACTACAGCACCGAACAGAACCGTTTGGGCCAGAACGGCAGCACCATCTCCAACTCGCACGCTCAGGCCTTCGACTACCCTGACGACACTCACGAGCACAAGAAACTGACACCGGGCCACGAGCTGCAGCCGCTGGCGTTGATAGACGCTCGGCCGTGCAGCCGCACCAGCAGCCGAATGAGCAGTCGAGCGAGGCCTGACGACCTGGACGTCTAGCTGTGCGACTTGGTGCCATGTCACGACACTAGAGGACTGACCCAGGCAATGAGACGCACTCATTTCCTGTACTGAGGGGGCGGGGCTTCATCCGCACAAGTTCCTCACTCTAGTTGATACAGAGACATAAAATTACTCACACTGCTGGAGGTACTATTCATTAATAATGATGTTGAAACTAGCAGCACTAACATGTCCTAACAACCGAACAGCCAGGGGGGACTCGAAGGGGCACAAACGGGGCCAAACCTGGCGCGTCTCTCAATTCTGCCCACCAAAATATGCCTTGGTCATGTGATTGATTTTGTTGTGCTTGTTAGTATTGGGTTTATTAAAATGCCACACAACGATTCCATTTGAACAAGTTGCACTCTTACAGTAGGTGTAGATTTGTGTTTTAACCCCCCTACAGTCGATCCCGGTTATTACGTCACATGACCTCAAATCTACATTGTCCAACAGGGTGTTCGCAGTCACGAATTAATATTTATTTATTCATAACCATTAACAGGATATCCCACCACTAGATGAAGATTGACTACTACTCAAGGTCATGTCTACATAATTAATACCATCCAAGTGCATATTTATTGACAATAATCCAAATTTCAGCAATACATTCATCAGCAAATACGTTTTTTTAATTTTTTTATTAATCACAGTGGACTGTCATTTTCCTGATAAACTTTGAATTTATGTGGTGTTGGTTTTTGTTATTTGATGATATTTGTTGCTTTTTTGGGTGGTGGTATGAAACAGAAATGTCTATTTGTGGACTGAGCTGCTGTACCAACTGTTACACGGCTTGATTTTCTTTTCCGCATTTTGATTTTTACTGAAATTGTCTTTAATAGTGTGCGAGAAAAAGGCTTTGTTTTTGTTCTCTTTTTTTTTTTTAAATGCCA